GGTATTTTGTCTCAGCAATAAGAGAAAAGTAACTAACACAGAAATACCTCATTCACTAATCCACTGCTGAGTTCCATGCCCCCATGAGCCAATCACCCTCCTCAAAGCCCCACCTATGATCTCATGAGGCTTTAGAGGACCATCTAGATATAAACCGTAACATGCAGATACAAAATCCTTAGATCCCAAAGAACTTTATATAAAATGGCATAGCTTGTACATATAACCTCACATATCCTCACATATCTCTAGATTACTTATAATACCTAAGTCAATGCAAACACTATGTAAATAGCTGTTATACTGCACTGTTTAGGGACTAATGTCAAGGGAGAAAGTCTGTATGCACTTACTATAGATGCAGTTATTTTCAAGTATTTTTTGACCTTTGATTACTTAAACCCATGGATGTAGGAACCACAGACAGGGAGAGCTGACTGTGTTTAGGGAGTATGAGTTTACACCAGATGCTGAGGATATAGATGTGAGACAGAGATAGTCTAGATACAGAATGAGTAGCAAAATAATAGAATATAAAATTGGCAATGTGGAGAAAATCACATAGAAAATTTTATTTTCTTTCTTTTCTGCAGAAGAAACCAAGAGCCAGTACATACCAAAAAAAAAAAAAAAAATCCAGAACTTTTCTTCTTCTATGGAGTAGGTCTAAGAGAAAGTTTAATTTTTTCTAAAATATTTGAAAGACAAGAACAAAAAGGAAAACAGAAGCTGGAGAAGAAAGCTTTACTACCTGAACAAGGAGATGGATGGTTACAGTAAGTATCAAAAATAAATGAGAAAATGATAAGAAAAAGAAAAACATTATGCTAACCATTTGACATCATTACCAAATTTGCCCAAAACTCTTAGGAGAGGAATCATCATTGTGACTTTACAGATGATATTTATTATAACTGGTGTCACTAGCTATATGCCTAGTATTTTTCAGTGCCTTAATGTTGTCATGAAATTGGCACAATAACATAAGCAGTTTTATTTCCTCTACTTTGCAGGTGAGGAAACTGAGCACAAATTTAATAATCTCTCCAAAGTCACATTAGAGGCAGAGCCAGAGCTCTGAATCCCTGAATGGAAAAGAGGATGATCATTTTCTCAGATGAAAGCATAGGCTTTTCCCAAGAAAAGGGCCTAATTAAAGAAGAGTAGTAGGCTCACCAGCTTTTCATAGAGTGAACTGATGATAAAATCTACCCTGTACAGAAAATCAATGGGAAACTGCAATGTATTTATTAAATAACTCAAACAAATGTGTATTGAGGGTGTTCTCTGTTTACATGTGATACTAAGTAGTGAGTAAAAACACTCTGATGAGAATTCTGCTCAGCAAATGGGTGGGGCAAGTACAGTGAATGAGCCCATATTTGTGAAGGACCCTTGAGCTCCTTCCTCAGCTTCTTCTGTCACTCTCTTTCTCTGGCTGACAGCCAGGTAGTCTAAGGACCCATCCTGGGCTTCACTCACAAGTCCCCCTCCAACTAGTCCAGTGCTGGTAAAATCTCCCTCTCTCCCCTCAGTTCAGGGATGGCCATAATTGGTGAATGAAATGGAAGGTGTGATCTACAGGGTAAGGTGTAGGAATTCAAATATTCTCTCTCAAGAGTTCACTTTTCCACACAACCGGGAGAAAGTGCAGCACTAGAAACAGCAGCCAGTGGAGGCCACACAGAAAAGCCAGCATGGCAGGAAGCTGACCACACAGGAGGCAGAGCAGTAGCCAGGTATGTTGGTGCACGCCTGTAATCCCAGCACTCTGGGAGGCTAAGGCAAGAGGATCATAGAATCAAGTCCGACTTAGGCAACTTCCTGACTTAGCAAGACCCTGTCTCCAAATAAAACCTTTTTAAAAGGGCTAGGGACGGACAACAGGAAGAAGAAGAAGGAGGCCGAGGAGAGAGGGAGGAGAGGAGAGAGGGGAGGGAGGAGGAAGGAGAAAGGAGAAGGGTGAGAAGACAAAGACAAGATGGCAGCGATTATGGCTTGTGCTTACTTAGATGTCTGCCAAAACCTCATGCAAATGAGGTGGAGCTATTTCTGAGGTGGCTGACTCTACAGTGTGTGATTCATGGTGCAAAGCTAGGCCCCAGAGTACTGGGATTAAGAGTGTGAGTTCTACCGGGCCTATGTAGTCTGAATAAGATAAGAGGGGCAGCAAGAGGCTATTAAGGTCCTTTGCTGCTTTTGCTACTATGTGGATGCCATGAACTGTTTCTCCTCTGCAATGCCCCTCCGCCATGTTCCACTCTACCTTGGAGCTATCCGAATACGGACTGAAACCTCTACAAACTGAGCTAAATAAGCCTTTCCTCTTTTAATTTTGTGTGTTAGGTATTTTGTCTCAGAGATGAGAGAAAAGTAACACAGTAGCAGAGCTGTGACATAAACCAGTTGTGGAGAGATAATGGAGCCACTGAGTCATGTGACCCCACAGACTTTTGCTGTTTCAGGCAGCTAGCACCTGGATGGGGCATTCTATTGGGGCATCTTGTTACTTCCAATTGAACACATCCCCATGGATATGTCATTCCACCTGAACCACCTGCTCCTTCTCTGGTGATTTTAATAAGCATAAGCAGGCCATTTTACAATCACATCTCCAACCATATCTAATAAAGGCAAACCACAAAATGAATTACAGCGAGAGGCTGTGCTCACACCCAAGTCCCCAGCATTTTGTAGAGTACATTAATGCTACTTCTGTAGGCTCAAAAATAATCAAATTTAATCCTCAAAGAACTCTAGGGAGTTACAGGGAATATAGGCTTGAGAGATAAGTAGCTCTGAAGGATAAAGCTCAAGGGTGGACTTTGCTTTTCCATGAGTGAACAAAAGCCATTATACCTCTCTCTGCTCATTTGTTATAGATACACAAGCACAGGAGCTGCTAGAGGAACCAACTGAGATTATGGAAAGGGCTGACATGACAAGATAAGTATGATGCTACATATTATCTCATCTTACCTCTGCACAATATTCCCTCTGCACATAACCCACCCTTCCCTGGAACACAGCTCAGTGAAGAGAAGCATGTAGCTCATCTGAGGAATTCCGCTGCTATCACACCAAGTGACACTGGGGTGTTAAAACACTACCACACTGCAGTCTTTCTTACATTCAGAAATTCAGTGCGATAGCTTCTGTATTTACAAAGAAATCCAGGCTTCAGAATTTCTGGTATCACAAAATCTTTTTTCTGATGGTTGTGGGTAAAATACAGAATCCAGATCCCTCTAAAGCCTCAGTGTCCTTTGGTCTTAATCAGAGAAACACAGCCACACCTTACCCCTTAGTCTGAAAGAACCACATTTCATGTGTTTAATTTTAATGGTGTACCAAATAGCCCACCTAAAATTTCTAATAGGCACAGTTTATTTGCTAAATTGTATTATGAACTCTATAAATTTTAATGAAGTTCAATTATATTATACAGAATTTTGAAATATTTTGACAACTGGTCATTTTTCTAATTAAAAGTGCTTTCTTTTCTATATTCAGGTACACCTTTCCATCCCATCCAAACTCAGTCATTTAATTAATACACATTTACTGAGTATTTACTATATGCCAGACAGTAAGTTAAATGGCAGAGATATAAAAACCAGAAAGGAGTAGTTCTTGTCTTTGAAATCAAGATTATATATCAGATGTAATTAGAAAATATGGCAGGGCTGGGGATTTAGCTCAGTGGTTCCGGCGCCTGCCTCGCAAGCACAAGGTACCACAGTTTGATCCTCGGTACCAAAAAAAAAAAAAAAAAGAAAAGAAAATATGGCAAATGTTTGAATAAAAATTTAAAATTTTTATTACAGTAAAAGACACATGGCCATGAATCTCCCTTAGAATACTTCCCCTTACTTTCAACACATTTATCCCATCATTCTTGACACTTTCTAAAGCAGTTCTAGAAGTCCTTTTTCCTGAGGGTCTTTTCCTGGCTGCCTGTATGTCCTGAGTGAACTCAGACCATTTACACCAACTTCTGTCAAATAAAAACATTGTGTTGTGTCCTTATCCACCTTATTCACCAAATCTGGCACCATGTAACTTCTGGCTCTTCCCCAGAGTCAAAATGACTATGATGGTTAAATGTTTTAAATTGATTCAGGACATGAAAGCAGCCACAATAAAGTAACAGGAAAGAGGACTTCCAGAGCTGCTTCAGAAAGTATCAAGAATGATACGTGTGTTCAAAGAAAGGTGGGTATTCTGAGGGGAATTCATGGCAATGGGTAATTTGGTGTCATACACTTTTTTTTTTGGTACGGGGGATCGAACTCAGGACCTTGCGCTTGAGAGGCAGGTGGCAGAACCACTGAGCTAAATCCCTGGCGTGGTTTCATACACTTTTAATATAAACATATACCATATTTTTATCACATTTCATATAATTAAATAATAAACTAATTAAGTGCTACAATACAGGTACAAAGAAGAAAGGTTTAATTATGTATACTTGCTTGCAAATAGGGTAAAGTCTCAGACCCTTCCTAGTTCTTGACAAGAAATAAGCTACAGCAATAGTTCATGCAAAAAATAATGACACATTTGCACAGAGCTGATAAGAATGTGACATAAACCACTGCAAGGGTCATTTAACAGAGGTCACATTTGGGTAAAAATTGCCAAGCACAGACCTTGTAAAGACTAAGGAAGGAAAACGGAATAGACCCTTAATGCAGTAAGTCTGTGGGGAGGGCATGGGGGCCTCTGTGACACTACCGCTAGAACCAAAAATAGAAATCTTTAATACACATCCTTATCAACATCCCTCACCTGCAAAAAAATGACACCTTAGACAGCCCTCCTCCCCTACTGGAGGCAAAGCTGCAGCACAGACTGCCTTTCTTGTTCAGAGATGGATTTAAACACTAAACATCATTATGTTTAGTTCAACTAAATTATAAATTGAAAGCTTTGATTAGGAAGCATATTCTGTAAGAGTTATAACTATTAGGTTAAGGACTAATTCAGTTGCTCCTTACCCAGCAACTCATACAGAGAATTCAGAATGGATTTCCAAGCCTCCCCTGCTTCTTGCCCAGCGACATCAGCAAAGTGTGCTGCACTGCTGTAGACATGCAGTCGGTCAATGCACTCCAGCACGAGGTTGATCATTCCCTGGGAGGATGGGGGGAAAAAAATCACGTGAAAAACTGTAATTCTGCTCACAGACCAAAAATGCAAAACTGATTTTTTAAAATCTGGCTAAAAGTATGTCTGATAATCCTAAAGAAAATTAAGACAGTTTATTTAAGAAGAAAGATACCTGTATGTGATATGAAGTGTTCTTCAAACAATCCAAGTGGATTTTAAATCCAGACTGGTATTCTCAAACAGAAATGGAAGAACTCTGTACTTACAGTCACAAGGTTTAATCCCTGAGTAAATGGATTGATTATAAATGATATTCTGCTATGTAACCTCAGAGCCATTAATATAATTACTAAATTTAAAGTAAACTTTTTTTAAAATTCACTCTGAAACCCCCTAAGAAGCAGCCTACATCTGAAATTATACTTTTATTATTATCACTGGATCAAGTTTTCCAAAATGAAAGGAAAAACTATAAAGAATTAATCAAATTAACTTATTTGACACAGAATTTCAGAAGTACCATGGACCACAAAACATTTCTGGGTCCCATCCAAATTGTCTTATATGAGAAACAGAAGAAGGAAAAGAATCCTTAACTCAATATTAGGTTGGTAACATTTAAGTAAATATTTTAAATGTTCACAGCACCATATTTAGGTTTAATTCCTCCAGATGTTAAATAAGCTCAATATAGTAAACAATCTAGTAACTTAGCATATATAAAATTAGAAAACCCCATGAACAGTACCACGTTGCTCTTGGTTTATGTTGACGTTTCCTTTTCTTTTATGCAACTTTGCTGTTAAATTATTTCTTTTATATGCATAGTAAAAAAAAGTCCTTAAAGGCTGAGGATTTAGTTCAGTGGTTTCGCCGCCTGCTGCGCAAGCGCAAGGATCCGAGTTCGATCCCCGGCACCAAAAAAAAAAAAAAAAAGTCCTTAAAAAGTAATGTCAGTTTCAAAGGTATCAGGAAACAGCTTTTAAAAAAACAGGAACACAGATTTAGAGATAAGGGAGCTCAGTAATGTCCTCTAATTGTTTTTCTTCCATACTTTTACAAAGACACTTTTCATCAGAAAAATGCATTACTGCCCACGCAGGGAGCCCTAAGAAGAACTGAAGCTCTTGCATGAGCTCCCTGCTTTGGCCCTATCCATGCTAACAGCCTCCTTCTGATACTCTTGAATATATGGCAATAATTGGACACCTGTTTAGGTCACTGATCACATTTCCTGATCCTTCTTTTATTCTGTTTATGAAGAATGATACCTGAGCTCTTTTTAGGAATGGATTTTTTGGTGAAATCAAATACATATATGCAAAAGGCAACAGTGGGGTGCTTTGTCCTGGCAGGGATCTTAGAGCTCAGCCTCTTCTTGGGGTAGACCTCTCCCTCCTTCTCCAACAAACAGCTTCTGAGGTTCTGGGGCATTTCCACAGAGACCCCAAGCACCTGATAAATAGGTTGGAAGCCTTGATATTTTCAAAAGCCTGTAGTATTTTAAGGTTCAGTATTTATGTAACCAACATGAAGCAAACTGCAGTGCTTAAAAATGGCCAGGTGAGGCCTGATTGCAAAGTACATGTCCCTTTCATTTTGTAAAATTAATGCTCATTAATGGAGAAATAAAAATAATGACCAGGTTCCTTACAGGCCTGATTCCCCTGTTCAGTAATATACTCAAATCAGAAAAGGGAGCTGTGTATGACCATAATCCCAGCACTCTACGAGGCTGAGGGAGGAGGATCACAAGTTTAAACCCAGCCTAGGCAATTTAGAGACTTAGTGAGATTGTCTCCAAATAAAAAATAAAAAGGACTGGGGATGTAATTCAGTGCAATAGTGTGGATTCAATCCCCAGTACTGCCAAAAAGAAAAAAATGTCAAATATGTGGAACAGAGGAAAACTTTTCCCTATCAACAGGCCCTCCCCAACAAGAGAATGACAGAAAAATGAATAGTTGAGCTAAGCCTCACCTCTTCCTGGAAGAGATTCTGCCGGTTCTTCAGGGCTCGCAGCCTGTTCTGCTTGTCCTCGTGCTCCAGGTGCTCATCAGGGGGGTGGAAGTAGCCAATGAGGTCCTGCAGACTGAGGCTCACGGATTCTATGGGTAACTCAACTGCAGGCACCTTCACTTTCTTGCTGAGAGCATCCAGGCCCCTAAGGTCAACAGCAACATTTTCTCTATGTCAGTAGTTCACTATTTTATTGTACTGTTTTTGATCTGAAGAAATGTTACTCGCTCTCCCTGTACTACTGTAAAAGGAACATACAAGAAAGAGCCTCCTTTTCCTCCAGCAGCAATAATGAATGTGCTTACATTGGAAACCCTGCATCGCGTCATGTATGTACCATGTTGTGCTCTACTCTCCAGCATGCAGAGCCTCTCATCCAGAGCAAAACCAATCAGGCCAAAGGACCAAAACCTACAGATTAACTGACTATGACATCAACGAATGTTCATTTTAAAGTACTACATATGTCTTTATTAGTACATGTTTAGCATACATGATGATTACAATCATTGTTGGGAGTTGGTACATGTACACGACACACTTTAATTCTTTTTACATGACCTTCTCCCTCCCTCACTCATCCTTTGGTCCCTTTCCCCTCCTCCCCTTTCTATTTGCAAAAGATATATCTCCCTGCTTCCTATTATCTATGTTTTATACTTTAATGTTTAAGGCCACTTCCTCCCAGACTCATAGCCCTGACTGGTTTTTCAAAAATGGAATTCTTTGAAGTATTGTGATCACTGACACTAGTTGCTAGGGTGTCTAATTCCTATCTTTTTCTCTCTTTTTTTTTTTTTTTTTTGGTACCAGGGATTGAACTCCGGACCTTGTGCTTGCGAGGCAGACACCAGAACCACTGAGCTGAATCCCCGGCCCTAATTCCTGTCTTTTAAAAAATATATTCTGGTGTTAATTTAGAAAAACTAGCTTTTATGAGTAAACAATAAATTGCTCTTTTATTATCCAAAAGTAATGCATTTAAAAGTTAGATTAAGAAACAACAATGATGTTTTCCAGCCTTTGCAGAAAAACATTGGTAGAATGGAAACACGTTAATTTGCTGAGGTTATGGATGTTCTCAGTTTTAAAATTTATTGTTTTAAATATATCTGAGAAGCACAATAAAACATGATGCTTGTAAATCAAAAGTATTCCAAAATAAAGTTTATTTAAAAAAACAATAAAGACACCATAAAAGAATAAAAGAAATATCTATACTATAGCTGTTACAGTAGTACTCTTAATCATGACAAAATTTAATGCACAAAAATATTACATTTCCATTCATGCTCTCTGCATAAGCAAGCTCTATGGTAACATTTTATTGCAAAGAAATGTTTCTACTTTTCTGACTATATTGGAACTTACATTTTAAAAACTAAAAGCTTTGTCAGTGAGAATTAGCTTAGCTCTGACTTTTATAAAACTTAAAACATTATTTAAATATATTATCATGTACATGAAGATTACTAATAATTTCGGAATATTTTTCAAATTTATTAATCAATAGAAATAGTAAAACTACACCTATTCTAAAGTTTTTGCCTGAAATTCCTTATCAGTCATATCAATGGAATTCATCTATTTCCTAGTTTCATCATCTCTATAAAATTTTCTATTTATCACAATAAACAACTACTATATAGAATGATACAATAATGAATACAAGTAATACTTAAAAGCAGTGCAAGTAATAAATATAAAAATAAAATGACACTTCAATGAGGCAAAGAAGTGGAGCTCATACTTGGGATGTGATGCTGCTGAATGCTGTGCATATTCTTTAGTTACACACACACACAGGGGGTGGTTTATAAAAGACATGGGAAATAAGTAAATATTAATATAATGTTGGTACAGCAAATATGTATTATATTGCAAAGCCAAAATTATTTTCCAAACTAGTAAGTTATAGAAAATATTTGCAACTTATAAGTGATGACAGGAACTTATTATCTCCAACATAAAAGCTTATAACAGCCAAATAGAAATATTAACAAGTAATAGGATAAATCACAAAAGGAATAAATGAAGAAATATGTTCAACAAACATGAAGTATATCCATTCTCATAATTCACAAATCCCATTCTGAGAAAGAAATAAACATCCAAATTTTTTTTTTAAAAATACAACTTGTTTTTAAAATTTTGCATATTGTGTGTGTACGTATACAAATAAATAAATGGGGGCCAGGGATTTAGCTCAGTGGTTCCGCTGCCTGCCTCGCAAGTGCAAGGACCCAAGTTCGATCCCCAATACCCAAAAAAAAAAAAAAGGTGTATGATCACAGAAAATTTTCCTTCATCAAATTTGCAAATTTAGAGACATGGTAATCATCATGGGTCAGACTGTATATTATTACCAGAAAACAGTATGGCCAAAAGTATGATTTAGTTTGTGGACAGGCAATAGTTTTAACTATTACATGAGAAAATTAGTTATTATAAGAATCACTTTACTGGGCCTGGGATTTAGCTCAGTGGTTCCGTCGCTTGCCTTGCAAGCGCAAGGACCCGAGTTCGATCCCTGGTACTAAAAAAAAAGAACCACTTTACTTTTTTAATGTAGTGTAAAAAACTCATTAAGTTTCTAAGCTTCATTATCCTCACTCACTGTAAAAGGGAATTAAATAGATCCAATACAAAAACAAGTTAGAGAATAACCCTGACCCATAGCTATCAATTACAACTACATATACAATTTCTAAAAGCACAGCCCATTTTTAAAGTTCATTTAAAAGAAAGACATAAGATAGCATCTAAATAGCTCTTTTTATTGTATTCTGCTGACATACTAAATTGTACACTTATTGTCATGGTATAATTTAGGAAGTGTCCATTTCAAATCTAGGAAGGAGTACCTTATAAATCTATTGAAAAGGAAGACTGTACTCCGGATGACTCGGGCTGTGCGTGATTCTTCATGCTGAGACCTAGATAAATTTAAGCCATCATCCATGTGGCCTTCGTGGTGCATAATGGCCTGTAAGAGAACAGAATGCCATTGTTCCCAAGATCTTCCTTCGAAGTCAGAGTTAAGATGTGCGCTCAGGAAGTTGAACCATAATGGTATATAGAAACAAAAGATAGGTAGAGGAGACAGTAGAGCTGCTGTGTGCAGATTAAGTAACATACACTGCACCCTATAAACATTATCCATTCAATGCATTCATTAAAAGAATGATTCAATAAATATACTGAGTTGAGTAAAACAAACAGCAGGGCATCTTCACATATCTATGTTCAATGATTGATCCATAATAGCCTAAGCAAACTGAACAAAGGGCAAAGGAAACATCATTTAGCATTATATTACTGCATAACAATACCAGTTACACACACATTCTCAACACAGATGGATTGATCACTAACTACTAAACAATGCTTATAAGGCATCTCCACTTTACATAATTCATTCATGAATTATTCATGAATGTATTTATGGATTTATACATATTCATCAGTTCTGTTAGGCTTTACGTTTTGAACTTCCTATGAAAGCATAACATTAAGAGAGAGAAATGCAAAAATCTTATGTTAACACCTCAATGAATTTCTCAATGTAAATACACATATGTAACCAACACCCAGATCATGAAAGAAAGGGCTCCCTTTCTGCCTTGACCTTCCTTCCTGTTCATCCTTCACAAGGTTCATCCCCTTCCAGATGCCACCAGCAGAAGACAGCTGTGCCCTAATATGAGCAGAACCATGCTATTAAGTGTCCCTGGTGTCCAGCTTCATTCAACACTTAAAGCAAGATAATTTAATATCATATATATGAACTAAAATTAGTCACTAGAACTACAATTGTAAACTATTTAGAAGGCAAGTAAAGAACTCCTAATATCAAAATCAATGAGACAGATATATCTGCACCCAAAGGCAATATTATACCTTTACATGCCTTCACTACCAAAGAAGAGTTGAGTGTAATGTAGGAACTTATTACTTATTTTAAGACTGAAAGAAGTATGCCAAAGAAAGTGAGAAAGTGGATTTAATGAAGACAAAAAGGAAATTAATGAACTAGAAATAAAATAGGGTGAATTACCCCAAAATTTGATTCTTTGTGAAGATAAATAAAACCAAGCTAAAAATAAAATAGAAAGCAAAGGCAGAAGATGGTAAATTAATAATAGTAATACAATACTGTATGCAACTCTCTGGAAAAAACAGACAATAAACGACAAACAGAACAGGAGATTCCAGAGGAATAAGATGGATTCATAGCAAACTAAGAATAATCTTTCTAGCTGGGCACCATGGCACATGCCTGTAGTTCCAAATACTGAGAAGACTGAGCCAGGAGAATCACATGAGACCAGAAGTTTGAAAACAGCCTGGGCAACATAAGGAGACCCTATTTCTTTAAATAATCATCATCCTCTTCCTCCTCCTCAAAAGGAGTACCTTCAATTAATTAGACTAGTTTATTTTTAAAAAGCATGAACAGATAATTTAAAACACAGTATTTAAAAGAACTTAGGACTGGATGGTTTCACAGGGGAGCTCTCCTAAACCTCTGAAGAACAGAAATTCCTGAGGGTAAACTAGTCCAGACCAGAGTTGGCAAAGTGCCTGTTTTTATAAAGCCAGTGAGCTAAGGGTAGTTATTTCATTGTTACATGGCTGGAAAAAATCCAAAGAAGAATGATATTTCATAACACATGAAAATCATTAAACATGAAAATTTTATTAAATTCAAATCTAATTCTCATAAACAAAGATAATTTCATTTCCCTTATGAAAATATAGTAATAATTCTGCATAAAACACTAGTTAGTTAAATCTAACAGGATTTCAAAAGAAGAGCACACTATGGTCAAGTAGGGTTTATTCCATGCTGTAAGAATCCTTCACTAATTGGATGGCTGGTAATTTATTTATCAACAAGTTAAAGGACACTAAAAACATGACTTTTAATCTACTTTCAAGAATCACTGTTAATTTTTTAAAAAGCTAAATAAAACAGGAATAACAAGAGACTATTTAAAATAATTATTTAGTTGCCTTCAGCATACAAGAACTTATGACTTCTAAGAAACAAGAATGAAGCATCACAGTGAGAAAATATGCCAAGATTAATAAACAATCAGATAGGTAAAGTTGCAACAAGGTGAGGTACAAAGGCAAGCTGGGTGATATATGAAAACAAAATTTCTAAGGCACCAGGAAAGATTTAAAGAGCACAACAACAGCAAAGATTATTCCAAAGGAAAATGGCCAGCACACAGAAGAGAACAAGTATGTTCCTCAGAATGAATGTAGCAAACAAAAATGCATACTTTCATCTAAAGCACAGTTGTGGACCATCTACCACAGTTCTGTCACTATGCTAGACACTGACACCAAGAAACAAGAGACTTGCTTCCTTCTGAGTCTAGAAATGGAGACAGCCAGCAAGTCATGCCCATGCATCTTGTCTCCTCCTCTCTTTCTACCCCTCCCCCTTAGACTGTGAACTGAACTTGGTTTAACCTCTAGCTCTTTAGCATCTCAGAACCTCAAAAAGCATCACCAGCAACTTGGGCCCAAATATGGTTGCACATGGATGAATGTGACAGGCATTTTGCTGAGCAAAATGAAAGCCACATAGAGGATACGATTTCACTTATATGAAAATCTACATCAAGCAAAACTAATCTGTCATGGAAAAAGACTGCCCTGGGGGAAAGGGGCAGGGACAACTTGGGAAAGACTGCAGGGAGACTTTGATGGAGAATGATGGATACACAGGATCACTATACTAGCTGTTCTTTTTTTTTTTTGCTTTGTACATATTTGAATTTTTCACAGTAAGTTTTACAACAAGCAGGTCAAATTAATAGAAAATAATAAATGTTTCACATATTACTGAATGCATAAAAATATATTTACATTTATGAGCCTAGAAAACAAGTAGTTATCTTATGATGAAGGTCTCACAGAATTTACTGATAACCTCTTTCCAGAATTCTGAGGAAGGAAGTACAGGAATGCAATCAAGGCAAACCCCATGAACGTAGCATCAGCCTCCAACTTCCCTAAAATCACCAATCACTCTATAACATATCTCAGTAACCCTGAATGATCTATACTGGAATATGTGTGGACTGTGATTAAATACTCTGTTGAAAACAAAGTTTTCTGACTCATTAAAGCCTTCTTTATCAAGGGCTCCCATTTCTAGAACTAACATATGTCTTGTTATTTGGTTCTGGACCCTGGGATGCATATAGTGTGTAAAATTATGAGCAATCTGCTACCTCATACTGCCTGAGGGAACTCATAAACTAGGGATGGGAGACAGACTGTAGCCTAGTAAATAAAACAGCACAGAATGAACATAAAATTTAATACATTTTATCAAATACTATGAGAACACAATAGAAGAGGTAATGGATTAGTTGAAATAAAAAGAACTTCTGAGATAATTTTTAATTTTAAATTGTGAAGAATGGATAGGAGTTGGACAGACAAGAAAGCTTTCCAGGGTACTTCAGGCAGAAGAAACAGACTATACAAAAGCACTGATACGTAAAAGCCATGGCTTTTGGGGATTGAGGAATATGCTGTAAGCTTTATGCTGAGAAAGCTGAAATTAGCAAAAGAACAGGAGAAATGGGCAGACCAGGAAGGGTATCACATCAAGAGTGTGATCTCCTTCTGACCTAGGGGAGGTCAGTGAAGGATTAGCAGCATGGATGGAGAATAAAGAAAAGCAGCTAAACTAAAAGCCAGAATCCAGAAGACAGTGTATTTCTTCACTTAATATACATACATGAATCCCCTAGTCCTATACATAAATGATGTCACTTCCATAAATGACTTACCCTACAAAACCAAAGAGTCTATTACAGGGGGATTCCATAGGGGTCAGAAGACCTACCAGTTTAACAATTTATTAATACTTCACTTTCTCCAGTGTGTCCTCCCATTTAAAGAAATTGGGCTGATGGGGTTGTACACACCAGCAGGCAACTTGGTACCTACAGCATCATTTGATGGCAGTATTAAATTAAACATATGGTGGGATTTGCCCTCGAGCACGTAAAGTAATGAACTTTAACAGGCGTCTTAAATAATTCACTACCTCTTTTGGTTTTGTGTTTCTTTATACTAAAAAAAACTGTTATAAATTATGTTTTATGTAATCTTACCTTACGTTGTATAGAACCCATTCTCACGGATTTCACATCTACAGACTGGTAAGTAAGCCACAGGCCTGTATCCACGTGCTGTATGTAGCATACAGAGTCACCGTATTTTATTTCAGATGTTCCCATACCATCAACTTCTTTTCTCACTCCTACATCCAGTTTTTCCTATGCAGAAAGGAAAGGGATCAGCACTTCTAAAAAAGTACTAGTCAATATCAATAGTTGTTTGCCTTATTGTAAATATGCTCCTTCAAAAATACAGCTCTCTGAAGTCCCCTGAAACAACGATCAAATATTCTATTCTAACAGTATAATCTCTACTGAAAACTAAAATGGGAAACTACAAACATAAATAGCATATTGTTGAATTGTTCACACTGTTAGGAAATTATTTTGGCTGTAATAAAAAAGTTTATTTTACTTAATGGCAAACTCTAAATCAGAGATCTTAAAATTAATGATTCAGACTTATTAATCTTCTCAGGTATTTCTTTCATTATTGGTGGTTAACAGCATACACTAGGTGTAAGAAAGATTCAGCTTTGAATCCAATTCCTGCCACTTTTTACCTCTAGGATCTAGTTAACTAAAATTTTTAAGCCTCAGTTTTCTCATTTATAAATAAAGCTAGTACTAGTACCTCTGAATAGGATCAGAAAACATGAGCTAATGTATGCAGAGTTTTCACCATCGTACCTGGGATAAAATAATCACTTTAATAAACTTGAATAATTTTGACCACAACAATGGTGATGATGGTGTCAATGATATATGAACTAAAGCTGTAATTCAGTTTCTATTACTGCAATTTCTAACCTGGACCACAGAGGTTTTTAATACTAAAGGGAGTGATGTTTGGGACTCTGTCTTAAAGCTCTGTGTATTCCTTAAAATAGACTAAAAGCCTAATGTACCTCCTTTCTTATTCTTTTCTTCTTTGACCTATCTTTCATTGCTAAATTTACTTTTTCTTGTCTTTGATTATTTGATTATTATCTAACATTAGTTGTAGTTACACAAATATTTTTGAAGATTAGGTTGGAGTAAAATTTATATTCATTATATCAAAAGAACAATTAAAGAAGCCCAAAAGCAAAACTTCAAATTTTTTCATGTCATTTGTTTTCTGTGCTAATAATTATTGACCCCAAACAAAGTCAATATGAACACTTCCTCAAATTAAAATTAAAATGAGCTGAAATTCGCAACAGAGAAAGGTCAAGGTCATCTAAGAAAATATATAATTATCAATTAAGTTAACTCTTATGCAAATAACTTGGAACTCTAGTCTAAGGATCTGCAATAAAATAGATAATAAACCATTTTAATTTCATTCTATCAAATGAGATAAACTACTAATCTACTTATACCCACTCTGTCAGTTCGAAAATTAAATTCTGGGGGAAAATATAACAACATAATTATCTCGTCAGAAGAAAATAATGAGCCTGTAAACATTTTTTTTTAATCCAAGGAAATTAGTTTGTAGTCTAGTTATGAGCTTGCAGATTGTGTTTTGAAAAGCCACAGAGTCACTGACTGTAAAATTATGCTTTTTTGTGTGTCCTACTGAAGTGGCTCAAATCTATCTGCAGAGTAAAAGCTTGAATTATTAAATCCCATGATGACTGTGGTTTTTTTTTTAGTTCCTCTGGCTCTTCAGTCAAGTAAACACTGCTGAATTGACATTAGGAAAAGAAAGTGCCCTCCCAGTGACCAGAGAGCTGAAGGAGAGGATCCTAACCCCATGGAGCAGGGCTCCGTCCAGCCCATGCCTCACCTGCTAGTGACCAGCTGGGAGGCACCTGCAGCACCCCCCGCCCCGCCCCCATCCTCTGGCCTCCTGACTGTGCTGGTACCTGGTTCCACACTACAGAGGCACAGGGGGTCATAAATGCCATTGTCCTGAGCTCCAGAAGATAAAAGAAGTGAACAACAGAAAGAGGGCCTCTCTCAGGCTCCTTGATGAAAACTGAAGCCCACTGGAAAGTAAAGAGAATCTCTGCAATAAAGGCACACCAGATGACAGTACGTGGTAAGTTGGAGGGATCATCACCTCTCATTGGAACCTGGACTATCTTAAGGGGAAGGGCAGCTGGAACCTGCAGTAGAACCTTGCAGAGTTCAACTCTG